ACCATCCCCCCTGGGGGGTGATTTCTGTCTCTATGTCTCTCTCTGTCTGTCTGGCGAGCGCACGCGCCCTATAGCGAAAACCTCTCAAAAACAAAACAAAAACAAAAACAAAAACAAAACTTGAGCTTCCAAACAAAAACGAACATCATTAGCTGATGTCACCCCCCCACCAGCTCATGGAGGATTCTGGATGATTCAGAGCACCCTCAACCCCCAGTCCCACCAAGGCCCTCAGCTGAGCAGTCTCCCAGCACCGTGTGATAAAGCTGGTCCTGCCGTAAGAGGGACCCTATAATGACACCCTCACAAACCCACCACCCCCAGGCTGCAGTCAGGTCCCAGGACACCCTAAGGTGGCTGGATTCCACATGGTCAATTGCATGGTTCAAGTCTTGGACCTGGCAGCTTGAAAATCATGCTGGGTACATGCATATGTGTGCCCAAAATGCTGAAAGAAGACTGGAGGAGAAGGGATTATCATGGTCTTCCCCTTGGGGGATGAGTTCGTTCTCACTTTGTCTCTCTTTCTCCCTCTGTTTCTCTCCAGTGTGCATGCACCCTACAGCAAAACTTTAAAAAAAAGAAATCCCAAACCTAAATCAAACCATGCAAACCATGGCTATTTCACATCGTGGAAAATCTGGAGAATGATACGCATGGGTTCTGGCCATGCGCCCCAAGGACATGAGAACTGGATGTTCGATGTGGCTGCATTTTTCAACACAGGGGCTGCCCTCCACAGCTGGGGGGCTCTGAGGGTCTCCACAGCTGGTCTGCTGTTTGGAAGGTGAGCTGAAGTCATCTCAGCGGAGGGCCACCTGACCGGAGATCAGAGGTGACAGGATTGCCAAATACAATGCAGAGACCAGAGGCCGATTAACCATGAATGACCCCCTGCCCTTAACTGCAACCCCTCATGGGAGCCCAGAATGCTGTCTTCACCAAGATGCTGTGAACCACCTTATTTGGGGTGGAGGTTGCCTAGAAGACTTAAAAATGTCCTAATGTCCAGGAGGAGTCTCACCAGGGGCCCAGCTCCTGTGGAAACCAGGACCATGGGATGGTGGAAGTCCAGAGACAGCAATGACTGCTAGGAGCAGGGTGACCAGCAGGGATGGGTGGGGCAAATGGATCACTGAGTCTCTGGGGTCAAAATGGACCAACAACCCTTGAGGACCTATTGATTTTATCATCAGGAAGGTCTGGGTTTGGTAAACAGAGGTCTGACCTGAGCCCCCAGGCAGAGAGACACATGGTCCCTCCCCAGTCCCAGACCCAAGTCGGAGTGCAGACTCAGAGCTCTCTAAACATTGGAAAGACCTGATAGCACATCTCGAGTCTATCCCATGAGTCTCCCCCAAGGGGATTGTGAGAGTGGGTTTGGGTCGGGGGAGGTCCGACCCTTACTGAGTCCCTGTTTGCTCATCTGTCTGGGAGGACATAACATCTCCTGGAGGACTGTCAGTCAGTGAGCAGAATAGTGGGACAGCGCCTGGGGTACAGCCACTGCAACTTGGTGTTCATCCTCTCATTTGTTTTCATCTTTGTTCCACTGCACTGTGATCGGCCATTTGCTGGGCACCGAGAGGAAAAGAACAATATCCTGACCATTGACTTAAGGCCAAGAATGTGCCAGGAGCAGTGTTTGGCCCTCGTGCCTCTAACCCACACAACAGCACTGTGAAGTCACGTGGTGGGAGGGAACAGTGCCAGGATGACACTTGTTCTGTTGCTAAACATGGTCTCTCCACTGTGGCACCAAGCTCCTCAGAAGTTAATACGATGAGGTGGTGAGTACAGTCCTAGAGAGAGTGACAGAGAGGAAGAGGGAGGTGGGTGGATGGGTGGATGAATGGATGGATGGATGGGTAGACAGATGAGTGGATAGATGGATACATGGGTAGACACATGGACAGGCAGATGGATGGTAGATGACTGGGTGGGTGGATGGATAGACCAGATGCAAGGACAGATAGGTGGATGGATGGATGGATGGATGAATGAGTGGGTAGATGGGTAGATGGGCAGACGGATGGATGAACCAAGACGTGGGTAGATGGAGAACTATAGATGTGGAGAGAGACAAATTCTAAACAGGCTTAGAAGGTGGATGCCACGGGATCCCAATCTTGAGGATTTTGCAACTGAAGGAAATGCTACACGATCCATGGAGCTGGCTGAGAAGTCAAAGATCTTATGTGCGGTCAGTGACACCCTCGAGCCTGCACTTTCCAAGTATGTGCAACGAAGATCAGCCAGCCACGCATGCCCCCAATAACAGGCCTTTATGGGTACCCATTCAACAGGTTTTGTTGGGTGCCTACTATGTACCAGGCACCGTTCTAAGCTCTGGGGACAGAGGTGTGAACAAGACGACTTCATGTGGCATTTCCATGATGGGAGACAAGGAGAGATGGACATATACAGTGACCCAGACAAGGACAGATTCTACGGTAATAAACAGAGCAGGGAGAGAGGCAGCTCTGGGGGCAGGCTGGTCTCCTGGGAAGGTTGGACAGGGCAGCCTTGTGGGAGGGAGGGAGTCTTGACACATGCATGGAGGCCTGAGGCAGGGCAGGGGCCAGTCAGGCTGAGATCCTACAAGAGCAGTGACTTCCCACGTCACATAGTGACTATGTGGCTGGGTGGGGGAGATGACCCGGGTTTATGTACAGGTGTTGGGGTTTGGGGCTCCCAAGCTTGTACTAAAGAGCAGTGGAGACACCAGGAATGGTGGCAGCAGAAGAGGCCGGTTGGGATCCAGCCACTCTACGGCTGCATGGTCTCCCTAAGCTCGTTTGTCATCACTTTGTGGTTCACGATCCCCAGAATCCTTTAAAGCAGCAAGTGCTAAGAGTTCATGAATATTTTCCTTCCTAAGCTGTAAATATCCTTGTGTTATTTCATGGAGGCCACAAATGCTGGACCTCTGAGAAGGCTGCTGCGGTTACATGCTCTAGTTGAGGGGAAGGGATAGAGGCTGTGGCTGAAACAGAAAGGCCTCCTCAGGGGATAACGAGATCTGAATGACCAGAGACGTTCTCAAGGTGAGAATGAGCATCCACAGACCATGGAAGAGAAAAGGACCAGCCTGGCAGCCACGTGGCCGTGGCTACCTACTAGGATGAGGTCCAGTCGTAAGAAATGCAAAACCCAAAAGAGTAAGTTTCTTTCTCTGGGAACCAGCAGTTAGCGTAATGGCTATGTCGCTGGACTCCCACGTAGTCGACCGCAGTTCGCGTCCCAGACCCGGTGGCTTAAAACTCTTCGCCGGGCACGTGTGCGTGCGTGCCCAAGATCCCGAGAGGAGAAAGGAGGAGAAGGGATTGCGGCGTGACCATCCCCTCTGGGGGGTGATTTCTCACTCTCTGTCTCTATGTCTCTCTCTGTTTGGCGAGCGCACACGCCCTATAGCGAAAACCTCTCAAAAAAAAAAAAAAGAGTAAGTTTCTTTCTCTGAGTTACTCATCCTTTCTTATGTTAACGCTCTTGAGCTAGGAGATCCAGGTGTCAGGGACCCTGGTTCTACCTCCTTGCTCCACCGTCCTCAGCATTTGGCTTGTACCTCTTGGCTCAAGGTGGCTGCTTGAGTACCAGATGTCAAGTCTGCATTACAGCTAGTGGTGTGGAGAGAGGAATGAAGAAGGGAATGCCTTCTCCCCAGCAGAGGAAATTCCGGAAGAATGCCATTTTAGCCTAGCAGTTGTAATACTCAGAGAAGACCCACCAGACCCTGAGAAGGCTTAGACTTGGTGGTACTTGTCTGAGAGAGCACCCGGGGAAGGGAACTCTGCCCAGGAAGTCCTTGCAGCCGGCCATGGAAGAGTCCAGCTGTTGGTAACTGCTGAAATGCCACCTGCACCAGGTCCTGATTTCCATCTTCTGGTGGACCTATAGCCTTGTTCTCCCAGCCAGAGCCTTCTCTGGGACCCTGGGGCCCCAGACTGCTGAGGGTTGGGGAGGGTGGGGAGGGTCCCACAGACAGGCCAGAGCGGGCATGGGAGTTTCCAGATAAATTCCGCTGCTGGGCATCGCTCGCCCCCACCAGAGGACACCTCCTCAAGTGCAGGGCCAGGAATCCCGGGATGCATTCCGGTCAAATGCTATGATGGCCCTGGTCATGACAGGCATGTGGCAGGGGTGCAGGAGGGTGAGTAAGTGAATGAAGGAGGCAGCCAATCAGTCACAGGGACCCCAAATGTTATTTGGTCTAGCTTCAGCCAAGTTGTCACCCAGCTCCCCCTTACACACTTCCAGTCACAGGGGCCCAGTACTCTCAGAGGCAACGTGCCTTTAGCTTAGAAGTCCTTAGGGCAGGCCAGTCTCCACCTCCTGTGTCTGGGTCAGCTCCAGTGCACGCTGCAGGTGGGACCCAGAAACCACTTAGCACTGCCGTTTGTTTAAGAGGGGTCTCACCCTGTTGCCATCCTCCTGCCTCGGCTTCCCGGTCACTGGGACGTCAGGCCCGCATACCTGGCTTTGAGGATTGACCGTGAATCGAACCCAGGCTCCCCTGTGGCCTCAGCCTGCCAAGCAGCAGTGACAACCAGCATATGCTGTCACGACTGACCAGATGGGGCTGTGACTTGCCCAAGGTCACAGAGCTGGCTAAGGACTGAGCCAAGATCAGACTACAGGCAGAACTCTCAGAAATCCCATAGCCCCCTGGGCCTCCTCCAGATTTGCCCTCCTCACGATGCTGAGGACCCACCTGCCTGTGAGACCATCCCTCGCCACCACCAGGGACGCACGTGGGCCTGGGACGGGGGTCTGAGTGTCAGGAGCTGCATGGGACTAAGACTGACAGCACGGGCTGGACAGCTTGTCCCTCCACTGGAGAAGCCCCTCAGAGCTGCAGGCCGGGTGTGCACGCGGGTGTGCACGCACGCCCACACATGCACCATGGCGCCTGGGCCTCAGTGCGAGAGCCGCGCAGCCAGCTGTCGCCCACCCTGCTGGCACACACACTCAACGTCACGCACGAAGCCAACAGACAGAGCTCGGGCAGAGCCATTCGGTTTTGTTTTGTGGTTATTTTTTTTTTTTACAACTTTAAATACGGAATATAAATAAATTTTACATTTAAAAAATAAAAGTAAAGCCCCCAAAAATATAATCACCGACTTTACAAACTGAAGGAAGCAGGTTTGGGAGGGGAAAGGGCAGTGCAGCGCGGGGGAAGGGAGGGAGAGCTCGGACCCGGCCTACGGGGCCCTCGAGGGCTTTCTCTTCTCCCCCCACTCCCAGCCCGTGAGTGGGTTCCCTGGGAGCTCCGCGGAAAGCATCGAAGATGGGGGAGTGTTCAAGCAGGGAGCGGGGCAGGGCGAGGGGGCTGCCCCCAATTGAAGACCCTTTCCTGGGGTTCTCGCACCGGCTTGGATGGGGGCCTGCTGGACCTGGGGACTGACCAACACCAGGGCTGTCTCCCTGCCCCCCACCACGGGCTCCTTTCTTTATGACCACTCCAAACCATAGGCCGAGGCAGGGACACACAGGCCACATGGAGCCTTTGTGTGAATTAGGAAGGGACTCCTTTTCATCTCAGACGCTACCCACATCTGCCAGGAACTGTCATAGTAAACACAGAATTCGGCTGTATCTCTGGTGTGACCTGCGTTCCTTGCATATGGCACCCTCAGGCAGTGCACACCCGGCATGACCTTACACAGGCGTGGCCAGGTTGGAATACGATGGGCAGGTCTCCTGCTGCTCTGGCCCCTGGCCTTCTGCCCTAGGGAGTGACTGGGGTCATCTGGGCCTCGGTAAGGGGTGCAAGATCCCCTCTGCTTGGTAGAGCAGACTGATGGGCCAGGACAAGAGGAAGCCGCAGGGTGGAGGTAGAGATGAAAGAAGACAGCAGGAAATGGATCGAATTGGGAATACGGGTCAGAGGTGGGAGGAGGCAGGGGGTGCCCAGGCCACCATCTATGTCCTGGTCAAGAGCAAACTCCATCTCTAACCCACCTGAGGGCACCTGGCCACCTGGTGCTCTGGCCACCCCACCCAGAGGAGGCCACGTCTTCAAAGATTTCATATGAAATGAAAAGGAGCCACGTGAGCAGAGGTGACTGGGGGTGGTGACTGGCTGGCTGGGCACGAGGAGAGGGGTTTTCTCCAGTCTGTGCTCCCCGACGTGCGAGGTGCCCTAGCCTGCCTGGAGGTGCTCCCTTTGGAGTGGGTTGCAGGGACCAGGCAGGCCATGCCGAGGTCCTCAGGGCCGTGCACAGAGCTCAGGGTCAGTCCTCAGCACTCAGGTGGGCCCTGGCCTGGCACAGGGGGCTGCGAGCCCCTTTCTCCCCGACGGCACCCCCGTTAGTCTCTCTTGCACTCTATTCCAGATCCTCAGGGTTGAGGAAGACAACGGTGGAGTTCAGTCCTTCGTTTCCTTCTGGAGCTGCTGGGCAAGACGCTGGAGGCCGCAGAGGGGGAACCCACTGATGGCGAGGTGGACGGACACGTGGAGGGGTGGGAAAAGCACCATTGGCCGTCCGAATCAGGCATCGAGACAGACGGACGAGGGGAACAATATTATCACTCCAAGGACCCCATGGGGGCAATACAGCAAATACCATATTAAATAACCCTGTGGGCCAAGCAGAGGACATGGGGTCAGAAGCCAGCCCAGAGGCTACACCCCACATAAGAGATCCCCAGGCCAAGTGCAGGGAGCCCGGGGTTGACCAGCTGTCCCTGATTTCCAGCAGTACTCAAGCTTCTTGTTCTCGCGGGGCATGCTGGAACACAGCTGGGCTGGGGTCTCCTAAGCCCTCCTCCCCACCTGCCCCAGGGAAGAGCTCACCTGATAAAAGGGTGGAAAAGATCAAGACTTGGGGACTGATTTCATATGGGAAAATGCCTTTCCCCCAAGCAATCCACAGGCCAGGGATTTCAGGCCTCAGTTTCCCCACCTGGCCCTCACCTGCCCACACTCTTCTGCCGATGCCCCTAGGCGCCAAGGGTCTCCTTCAGTGCCTTCTTGTCGTGCGTGTGCTTGAACTTCCGGTGCTTCCCCTTGGGGGGCCGGCGGACTCGAATCGTCCGAATGGTCACCCGAGTTTGGGGCGTCTTGGCTGCTTAAGAAAAGGGAAGATCTTGTCAGCGTCACTGGGAGATCCATTCCTCTCAACCAAGACCTGCTGCAATCCTTCCTGGATACTCAGGACTGAGGCAAGGCCCAGTCTGAGGCCAGACTTCTTGGGTTCGAATCCCAGCTGCATTGCTTACCAGCTGCATGCGACTTGGGGACCACTATAAAACCTCTCGATGCCTTGGCTTCTCCAACTGTGAAATGGGGGTGATAGACTGCCCGCCTAGGAAGCCCAATGGGAGGAACCAGCGACAAGATTCTGGCAGGGCCCTCTACACAGTGCCCGACACAGAGGGGTGGATGACGCATGGCTTCCAACTCTGTCCTTACCCACTGACAGGTTATTTCCCTGCCCTCGAATCTGTGACCTCGGATCTGTTTAAAGGAGGCTGAGGTGGTACTGGTCCAGGCAGAAGCCTTGAGAAAGCCTGGCGCCCTCACCTTCACACCGTGGGAACCCTTGAGCTGCCATAGATGGCAGGCTACCCTGCCAGAGAGGCCACATGGAAGGCTGCATGGGGAGGAGAGGCCTTGGACCACAGGGGAGGGAGCCTCCACAGCCCCAGCTGCCATCTGACTGCAACCGCGGGGCAGACCAACAGAACCGCCCAGCTGAGCCCAGTCAACCCACAGACCCACGAGAGTGGATACAACAGTCGTTCTAAGCCACTAAGCTCAGGGTAGGAAGTGCTGAGCAAGTGGCATCTGCTAAGCTGCACTTTTTCCTTATTGGCTTGACTCCCTGTGGAAGTTTCCTCCCACCACCCACTGGGTCCCTTCCAGTCACGAGATGGGGAAGGCCACTGGCTTCGAGGCAGAAGCTTGCTCCCCACCATGGAGCAGGGCCTTTGAGGTGGTTGTCATCTCCCTGCCACTCCAAGAAGCAGAACAGGGGTGTGGGAGGTGGGCCTCACTCAGCTGAGGCAGCAGGTCAGACCACCAGGTTCAAGTCTGGGCTCTCCCACATATTGTGTGCTTTGAAGCAAGCCACTTAAGCACTCCGTGCCTCAATTTCCACGTTTTACGAAGAGAGATGCCACGTGCCCCGGCCTTCTGGGGTTAGATCGAACATGAGATAACCAGAACCCTCCACTGGCGTTTACCAGGTGCCAGCACTACACTAAGCTCATTCGCCTTCATGGCAGGTGCAACGTGCACCCTTTACAGATGAGGCAACTGAGGCCGAGGCTGGGATCCGAACACAGGGATCTGTTTCCAGAGTCCTTGTTTGCACCCACTTGATGTATGCACAAATGCCCATGGGCCTCGGTCAGGCCAGCTCTCACATTCTCTCCCTCCTGGGCTCCTGGGGCCACCCTAGCAGGGACAGCTGTGTCTGCCCAGCAAGGCCAGCCTCTCCTGGGCACTTCTTTAGCTCTTCCCAGCCTGCCAGGCTACTGGGAGCTGACCCCTGACCTCCCACCTCTAGAACACAGCTCCCATGCGATGCTCCTCCCACCTGCAAACAGGCGGCTTTACCAGCAGTTCAAAGGCCTCAGACTCCACCCCACCGGGGAGGACCCCCAGGAGGACCACTGTGGGCCATCTGTGGGACTGGATGACACCCAAGCAAGCTCAAAAGTTCACAAATAGAGCAGATTTGAGCCTGGGAGAACTGACGATGGCCATCAATCACCCGGGCCACACCACCAGGCCTTGGCCCGGCCTTGGACAGCAGCTGGGGGTGCGCCTCACACTTGGCTGAAATATTGAAGCTGAAAGGATGGCTTCCCGATGCTAGCTATTCTCTGTTGTCGTTTGTAGGAAGGTGTGTGCACTTGCCAGAGAGAAAGCACCTCGCACTAGGGTCTGGTCATGCTATACCCCTTCTCCCCCATTTCTCCGTTCTGGGGCACACACGCACCACACACACCCACAATGTTTTTCAAGCCTCGGGGGCTGGGATTCGAAATCGCAGTCAGCCATGTGGGATTCAGCTCCCTTTAGCCCGATGTTTTCTACCTGCGTGTCCCTGCCTCCCAAGACACTGGCTTAGATAATCATGTGGGACAAATACACGAAATAACCCCATTCTAGCATAAAGAAGAGTATCATTTTTTCGTAACAGAGAAACGCTTTTCCACGTCAGCTCTGTAAGTAACCTGCAGCATGTCCGCTGGAAGCTGGCAAGTGACTGGCCTTCCCAAGGGACTTGGCGAAAGAGGCCAAGAGATGGCCTGCAGTGGGCTCGTGAATAAGAAATGAGGACAGAAGGACTGCCTTGTCCCTAAGAGCGAGCTAACTGAAAATCAAACTGCCGCTTACGTGATGTTTTTAATGCTCATCTAATCGTATTAACTTAATGATTTGATCCTTATTGTACACACTCAAGGGAAAAAAGGGAGCAAGCTAAGCCAAAAGGAACTCAGAATTGCACGTTACAAGACCGGGGTTCGGGACCAGCAGCAGTTAGCATAATGGCTATGTCGCTGAACTCCCATGTAGCCAACAGCGGTTTGAGTCCCAGACCCGGTGGCTTAAACTCACGCCAGGCGCGTGTGCATGTGTGCCTAAGATCCTGAGAGGAGAATGGAGGAGAAGGGATTGCAATGTGGCCATCTCCCCTGGGGGGTGATTTCTCACTTTCTGTCTCTCTGTCTCTCTCTGTCTTCCAGTGAGTGCATGCACCCTACAGCAAAAACCTCTCAAAAAAAAAAAAAAAAAAAGACCAGGGTTCAGGGACAAGCAGATGGCATAATTACGTTGGCTGACTCCCATGTAGTCGACCACAGTTTGAGTCCTGGACTCAGCAGCTTAAAATTCATGCCGGGTGCATGTGCATGGGAGCCCAAAATCCTGAGAGGAGAATTGACGAGAAGGGATTGTGGCATGGCCATCCCCCCAGGGGGCATTTCTTGCTTTCTGTCTCTCTGTCTCTGTCTCTCCAGTGAGTGCGCACACCTCTCTGTCTGTCTGGCGAACGCAGGCGCCCTGTAGCAAAAAAAAAAAAAAAAAAAAAACTCTCTAAAAAAAGAAGAAAAAGAAAAGGGTTCGGGACTAGGCTCTGCACTGTGCCACCTTTGTTAAGTCACTTAACCTCTCTGTTTTCCTGCAGTCTCATTAATAATACTGAAGGACTGACTTGCAAGGCCATCTCTCTGCCCCATTCTAGTGCAACAATTCTTTAATCCTTAAAGAAAGGAAGTGACAAAGCAGGTGAGGGCCAGAGAGAGCTGTCGGGTAAGGGAAGAGCCAAGAATTGAACCTCAGGATACCTGGATTCCAGCCACACTCTCCTGGGACTGGCTGTGGAACCTTGGGCAAGACCTCAGCACCTCCCAGCCCCAGGCACCTCCCCCCTGAAGGAGGGAGAAGCAGAGGACCAGACCATTTTTGGAGGAGCTTTCAACTCCGGTCTTATCACGCCCGGGACTGAATTCGTCAAGTGTAAGGACAGGAACAGAACTTTGACCCCACACGGCCATCTGATTGATAATTCAAGCCCCAGCTGTCACATCCCAGCTCCACGGTTCCCCAACCATTGCTTGCACACCTCTAGTGACAAAGGGCCCACTACCTTTTCGAGGTTGGCAGCCAGTCCCACCTTGGAACCCTGACTAACACCAGCTTTTCTGTGTATGGAGCTAAAATCTCTCCCCAGCGGCTTTCCTACTACTCCTGGTGCCCTGCTCAAGGCCTTAAGAAATTAGTTTGATTTCTCATCTCCAGGACACGCTGTCAGATATCTGCAGACGATGTGCACAGAGCCTTCTCTTGTCCAGGCCCTGGCTCCTCACACCTTTCCATGCACTCATTCAACACAGTGGGGGCTGTACTGGAAATGGGGCTGCTCCAGACAGGATGGCCAGGGCACACCTCCAGGAGGAGGTGATGTCTGTCTGAGACCCAAATAAAGAGAATGAGCTAGGCTTCTGAAGAGCTGGGAGAAGTGTATTTCAGACAGAGTAACACGTGCAAAGGCCCTGAGGCAGAACCTTACAGGGTCAAGCTTCTACAAGAAGGCCAGCCCATGTAGGTAGCATAAGTGAGGGGGACTGACTGCAAGGCAGAGGGCCAGTCAGGGTTGCATCTTCAGGCAGGGCCTCCTAGGCCAGGGAGGAAGGGGAGGAATCTGACTGCTCTCAGTGAGACGGAAAACAGCAGATGAATTTAACCAGGATGTGTCGGATCTAACCTCCTCCCCCTTTAAAAGGTTTGTGCCATAGGGTACATGAGCTTGCCAGAGAGAGACAATGAGAGGGAGTGCGAAATCACCCTCAGGGGGATGGCCATGCCACAATCCCTCCTCCTCCTGGGATGTTGGGCATACATGCAGAAGCGCCCAGTGTAATTTTCAAGCTGCAGAGTCCGGGACTCAAACTGTGGTTGGCCAAGCGGCAGTCCAGTACCTTAACGTCCATGCCATCTACTGTCGCCACCCACCAACCCATTTCCATTTTTTTTTAGTTTTTTGCCCTAGGGCAAAATGTGCTTGCTGGGGAGGGAGAGAGAGACACAGGGAAAGTGAGAAACCACCCCTGGGGAGAGGGCCATGCCTAAAGCCCTCCTCCGTTCTCCTCTCCAGATTTTGGGCACACATGCACATGCACATGCACCTGGCATGATTTTCAAGCCGTCAAGTCTGGGACTCGAACCACAGCCACCCATGTGGGAGGCCAGCACCTTCACCACCACACCACTGGCTGCCTCTCCCATTTCCATTTCTAAGACCTGCCCACATCCCCAGCTGCCTCAGCGGAAGCGGGCCTTGGGCTGAGGGATCCAGAGGCAGACCCTGGGAATGGTTACCTCGCTGCTCCTGGGTCACTGTCTCACACCTGCACCCCAGGTGGTCCTCCAGTGTCACTGTGGTCTTCTTAAAGGTTGGCTTCTTCCTCACCATCTCGATCTTTCTCACCTGCAGAACAGAACTGCCTCTGTAGGGGCCGCCCTTGCAGGGCTGCAGGAGCAAAGCGCAGAGATCCCGCACGGCCTGTCCCAGCTCCCTTCGCTGCTCTTTCCTCGAAAGCCCAGCGCTGGCCTGTGGGGCAAACACCAGGCCGGACAACAGCAGGATCTTGCCCTCTGCCCTCACCGAGCTTTTCCATCAAAACAAGCCCTCCAGCCCTGGCTTCCAGCTCTGCCCAGCCCCCCTCGCTGCCCCCAGAGGGGAGAAAGGCATTTCCGGGTTGAACGTGGGGCCTGCGGTGTCCTCATTCTGAGTGGATCCCAGCCAAGGTCAGGGTAGGGGTGGAGCCGGCTGTCTGAGGAATGGGGAAGGCTCTATCTAGGAGGGCGGTGGGGAGAGGCAGCTGTCAGGTGTCCATCCACACAGCTGGAAGCAGAGGGCAGGAAGATAGCAGGGCAGTGGGCGGTGAAGTGGAGAGCAGCGTGGATCAGAGCGGGCACTGGGCCCAGGCCAGGGGTGGGAGGTGGGCAGGGCACGAGGAAGGTGGGCAGGAGGAACAGCCTCGCCGGCCGTGTGGAAGTGGGCAGAGCGTGGCAAGGCTGGGCTGAGCCCCGGAGAGGCGTGCCACGCCCCTGGCCAGGCCTGTGCTGAGCTGATGCCCGGGCAAGGCTGGCCTGGGGCTGCAGAAACTGTCCTGTCCTGTCCCACATGAATCAGAAGACAATTGAGCCTTCTCCCGTCCAGCCCTGCCAGCACGACAGAGAGAGATCGTGGGGACAGTGCGCTTTAAAACACCCTTAGAATCTAGTGTATGTCTACCCCATCCCCCCGGAAAAGAGGCAGGCTTAGCATCTGACTCTGCTAGGGAGCCCCAGGTGTCACGTGGAGGGCCGCCCTAGCCTCTCTGTTAAAGATACAGCCTGTCAAAGGGACATGGGCAGGTGTCAGACGCAGGGGCACCTCCCCGAGTCTCTCTCTGAGGTCCTTGAATAGGGGAGGGTTTTGGGGGAACCTGAGCAGCTGCCCAGAACACAAACACATGTAGGCAAGGGACATTTGGGACCTTACCCCTGTAGAGGAGAAGGCAGCATCTGTTACTTAGTGCCCACACCTACTCCTGCCCAGGGGTCTGTCTGTAGCTTTCAGTTGCAGGGGTCTGGGCTGCCTTCAGGACTCATGGCTGCCCTTGGCACACCTCCAGAGAGAGCTGACCAAGGGAGGCCCTCTCTGGACAGTCTGGAACGTGCCCTTCGACGCCCCTCCACCCGTGCAGGAAGCTGATCAACAAGACAACCACCCAGAAGGGCACCCCCTCCCGCCCCCTCGGGGCCCACAGCATGGGCCTAGCGCACACCTGGACGTGCCGCAGCTGCACCTGGGTGGGCCGGCACTGCACTCTGTGGCTGTGGCTGCAGCCGGAGCAGCGCTGCACCTCCACGCAGGGCGGCCACACCAGGTAGTTGGCGTTGCTGCGGTCTATGAGGCGCCGGGAGATCTCGAACACCTCTGTGCGCGTCTTGCACTCTGCGATCATGGCTGGCTCGGCCGCCGTCAGGGAACCTGAGGGAGAGGACAGCAGTTGGGGTGGGCCTGCCAAGAGCCCGCCTGGCAGGAGAGCTCAGAGGTGCCCCTGAGACGGTGCTTCCCACCTCCTTCAACCTCAGGGTGGAGGGTTCAAGCCATGGCTCCTATTGGTCGTGGGCTGAGGGTCGTGGGCTGAGAGCCGTGGCTGGGCTGCTCTAAGCCTCAGCTGCCCTATCCACACTGAAGAACCACAGTAAGGGTCACATGGGACAATCCAGAGACCGTGGCCTGTTGGGAACACTCGGTAAGGTCCGTTTCTTGGCATGTAACCATTTTATTCTACGGTTTCTCGGATTGCTGGGTTTGCCCAACACCTGGCCCTTCCGCGTGTGCCATCTCATAACTCACGCGGCACCTCACACTGCAGTCGATCCCTGTGCAATGCTTCATGGAAAGTCTGCTCCCTCCTCTGTGAGGTAGGATAACAACAGTGCCCACGCCTGCCCCATAGACCTCAGGAGCACGCGAGTGGGCTACAAACAGAGAAACGGAGGCCCCGAGAGTCCCATTCCTGAGGGGTGGGACTTGGGTACCCGCCTCTTGTCTGTAGGTCCCCCAGCCCCTGTCTGCAGTGTTTTGGGAACTCCAGGTGGGTAAAGAGGAAGAGGAGCTTGGGCGGGCACCTGCCCCCCTGCAAGGGCTTCTCAGGCCTCGTCTTGGTCTGCAGGCTGCTTTTGGTCTCCGCAGAGAAGCAGGAGGCAGCGCCCAGGCCTTGCTCCACACCTGCTGTCCCAGGCCACAAGCTTTAGTCACAGTGGAGACACATGGCCCACCAGAGGCCACAGCAGGTTCCCAGGAGAACAGCTGGCTGGGACCGCGCCCTCCCACTCCTACCCCCCTACTTCCTTACCCTCCTGCACTCTGGTTCCCAATTCCACAAAACGGGTTAGTAATACCTACCTCCGTTATCATGAGTCTATCAGCACTGTATTTGGAAAACAGCGCGGAGGTGAGGGGTGTAATGACTCACCTAAGTATCTCGATATAAAGGGTTTGGGGTTTGGGGTTTTTTTTTTTTGCTGGGGGGGGGGTTGTACACACACTGGAAAGAGAGAACGAGAGATGGAGAGAGAGAGAGGGAAAGTGAGAAATCACCCCCCCAGAGGGAGGGCCACACCACAATCCCTTCTCCTCTTGAGATTTTGGGCACACACGCACACATGCCCGGCATGTTTCTCAAGCGGCTGGGTCCATGACTCAAACCGTATAGCTGGCCATGTGGGATCCGGTGGCCTCAACCACCAGGCTGCCACTGGCTGGCCGGATACAAAGCCTTTAAGGGTGGCTACACTCTGCTAGCTCATCTCAGTTCTAAGTGTGGGTAAGGGACTTTTAAGGTGACCTGGAACCCCCTCTTTCCATGGCTCCCCCTCCCACCTCCTGAGGGGCCACTGCTCCAGCCTCAGCCTTACCCAGGCTCCTCCTCCCACGAGATAAGCCCTCGGGCTCGCCTCCAGAATGAGACCGTGTCATGTTCAGGTCCAGCTCAGCCCCATCTTCAACTGCAAAAGAAGACACAGATGTGTCATCACGACTGCGGCTGGTGTGGTGGGGGTGCCCATGGGGATCGCACAGGCCGGGGGACCCACCCGGCCATAGAGAACAGTCCCAGCTTCCAGCCCCCTACAGACCCGAGACCCCCAGGCAGCCACAGGGCTCAGGGAGGCGGTGGGCCCCCACTGCACCCCAGGGGCCTCCATCCCTAGTCTGGGCTCATTAGCCACATTTTTGGCCGGAACCCACGTTGATGGAGTTAAAAATAACCCTTCCCCTTTGCTACTGTAATGGAACCGCCTCTGCCCAGCGGGAGGGGGGCAGGACCCAGAGCACTGAAGGCCAGACTCCAGTGCCCTCCACCCAGCGTTCCCAGAGGAAGTGCTGGATGGAGAAATTCCCAGAACCCTCAGGGGGGCGGCATGCCCTGCACACAGCCCCTCCGGAGCCTGTGCAATGGCCCTGCTGGGAGGGACAGACGGAGGGCAGCAGAGGGACGGTGGCGGGAACTGGGGCCTGCCGGGGTGGGGGGCGCCCACCGAAAGCCCCTCTAGGTCTCGGTCTCTGGCTAGCTCCCCGCCTCTCATCCTGCATCTCTATTTCTCTCTCCCGTTCTCTAAGTGTCGCCCCATGTCCGCCCCACTTCTTCCTGGGGCCAGTTCTGGCTCCCTTCAGCCTGGTGCTCTTGGCTCAGCCTCAGCACACCTGGAGACATTGGCCTGGCGAGGGGGGAGGCCAGTGAGCCTCTGAAGGGTTCAAGAGGGGCAGGCCCTTCTGCTCTCTCCTGGGTGAAGAGCTGGCAACGCTCTGAGGGCTAGGAGACAGCTCCTGCCACCCCACTCAGCACTTGGGGGCCCACGTTCTCCCCTACCCACGGGCCATCGGAGACAAGGGCTCCTGGGGCTGCAGCCCATCTGTCCTCCTGTCAGTCTGTCCAACAGTCTGCCAGAGTCCCCGGGGAGCCTGACTAGAGGATCCTGTCCTGCTAGGAGCTGCGACTGTCTGCTTCCATGCAGCCCAACGACTCCCATGTCAGCAAGTCTGTCTGTCCGTCCCTCCGGGTCCCTTCCTCTCTCCCTGCCATCTCTGGAATGTCCCTGGTGAGGAGGAGATGGGGGAAAGATGTGCTTTGTGGAAAGGTTAAGTCGATTAGGAAAAAATAGCCACATGGTTGCCTCGAAACAGGCCTGCTATTGAAAAGCTCATCCGAGACCCCGGCGCCCACCCCCGGCCCCCACCGGACTGTGCAGGGGCTGCCGGGTAGGGAAGGCCTTGGAAAGCAACTGCAGAAAGGCTAAATTTGGAAGTTGCCCCATTGTGTGGCCAGGCTGCTGGTCGGGCATGGGGTGGGAGCAGTGGGAGACGTCGGGTGGGGGCCCTGGCAAACAATAGGTGGGCCCAGCCGGGGGCCCCCTCCTGCCTGCCCCACCCCCAATGCACAGGGGCATTGAAAGGGCCAGGGAATGCTTTTGAGAGGGAGCCAGGGGCCCAACGGGGAGAGGAAACAAAGGCAGGAAATGCTGTTCCCCCGTAGATAGCGTCTGGGCAAGGATTACAAAGTGACAAAGAGACAGAACCCCAGAGGGAAGGGGACCTGGGGTGCAGGGGGCTGCTGACCAGGGCTCCAGAGAATAGGCCAGAGGTTAGAATAGAATGGAATTTGCTCTGAAGACAGCGTTTATAAATACATTCCCAACCCAGCCCGCCAGCCCCGCCACGTGTGTGCCACCTAGCACGTGCCCATGTGCTGAGTGCACTCTTGGGCACAGGCAGGGCTGCCAGCTGGTCAGGGCCAGGTGTCCCTGGGAGACCTCATGGAGCAGGCCCTCGGCCAGCAGGCAGAGAGATGGCTCCTCCCGCTTCCCTCCCTGGCAGGATCCACATCTGGGTAAGACACTCCGCAGATGCCCGGGGCACCTTCTCTCTACCCGCCCTCCTCCCCACACCCCACCCTCTGCACCAGGCCAGAGCCACACGTGGTGCCTCTCTGGCTACACCCCACGTCCCAGGTACCAACCATCCACATATTCAGCCCGCCCTGGGTGGGCGTGAACCAGCCCCCCCCTGGAATTTCATGGGCCATTTCCCTGGATGTCAAGCAGAGGGGCCCTGGGCTCAGCAGGGCCCGGGAGCTGGGTGAGGGGTCAATTTACCTACGGAGTCTCCTCCGTGTAGCAGACGCTGGAGGTCATCGAAGGAGCGGATCGAGTGGTCGCTCAGCATCTCATAGAGCTCCTCGGGAATGGGATCCCCCTGCCAGGCAGACACGGCAGGCTGGGTGAGCTGGGAGTGAGGGCTCCTCGCTGCGGTCTTCCCCCCAAGCACACTCTCCCGTGTAAAGTGCCCACCGGGCCCCTCATGCACAGGGCATATCTATCAATGCGTGTATCCTCAGCGTTACTAGAGGCCTGGGAAGGCTCCAGCCATCTCATTTCCCGTGGCTTCTCCCTCCACGCCCGCATGTACTGTGGGCGATCAACGGTCCTCATCTTACAGATGAGAAAACAGGCTCAAACAGGCGACCCCCCCGCTGAGGCCCCACAGCCGGTTCTCAGCAGAAGCTCCATTCGAACCCAAGGCTTCGTCACCGCAGAGCCTGCAGTCGCAGCCTCCTGGGTGCAGAGTGCTCGGTGAACACCCACAGACTTGGACGGCCTCGGGAGTCACGTGTTCTCGTGGTACGAACTTCGTCTCTCACGCAAAAGAAGAGTTCTAGAAGGGAATCCTCAGATGCAACCGGGAAACCTGAAAGTTTACCCATGCCCCAGGCTCGACCAAGCCCTATTTTTAGAGCCCCTCTGGCCCGTTACCAAACACACTTGAAACTTAATAAGCGCTTTAACAGGCCTCACTTGGAGGCCGGCTTCCTCCAGGGAAACCACAGGGCCCGCAGTGACACAGCGGCGGCAGCCTGATAGGAAGGTCCCGGGATGCCAGAGGTCCTGAGAAAGAGTTGTGGCCCAGGGGAGACGGAGTTCAGCCTGGACCACCAGCCACCAGGGGCAAAGACACTGCAGGGCATGCAGCATGGGAGACGGACCCGCTCGCATGCGTGCAAACACACGTGTGCAGCACAGGCACATGGGGTCACAGGTCTGGGCAACGAGCCCTGGGAAGGGCATCGCTGGCTTGGGACCTTGGGTTAAACTGCGCAGTGCCTCAGTATCCCTGGATTAAGAAGAGAAAGACCCCTGCCCTACGTAGTTCACGGAGCACTCCAGGAACAAGAGTGCTGGAAGCCTTAGCATGTCTGGGAGGGAGGGCGTTCTCTCAGCGCCGTGTCCAGCCCTGGCGGGGGGGTGGGGGCGGTAGGGAGGCTCTCCCCCAAAGCTCTGTTTTCTTGGCACTTATCAAGGAATCAAGGAACACTTCCTCCAGGGGTATGACCTTTTCATATGAATTAATCATTTGTTGTAATAGGTCAGCCATGTGGGGCCACCCACATGAACCTGGAGATAGCAGACCCAGGGTGCAGGTAGGGGCCGCTTTGAAAACGAATTCCTTGAGAACTCTAAGTTCCTAATTATTTGAAAATGGAGCTTATCACCACGTGCAGTTTCCCGGGGCTGTTGGGGGGTTCGAGGGAGGATAGGGTGGGGGGCCTGGCTGAGAACTGCAGTCGTTCTTTAGGGTCCTCGGCTGCCTAGCTGGAGGTGGGGGGGGTGTCGGCCCAGCTGCCCCTCGCTTCCCCCCATCTCCAGGCTCTGCCTCCTCCCACCCTCCAGCAAGTTCATTCTCCCAAGCCCGAGGGGCAGACCCCGCCTTTCATGTTCTCCAAATGTTGGCAAAGTACCCAGCACACAGAAAGGAGGGCTGGCAGCAGGGGCCAGGGACGGGTGCTTCCCTGAGAGTTTTGTCACATCCAGAACAGGTGGTCCAGGCTGCCAGATTCCACACCTCGCATTGCTACTAACTGCTGAGTGACCTCAGGTGGCTCGCTGTCCCTTTCTGGTCCTGGCACTCATCCGTGAACCCAGAGGGTTGAAGAACATTTTAATTTACTTTTAATTCTACCTAGGAGTGTCAGAACGAATACAAGAAAGCCAAAACAGGGGAGCCCAGGCGACCCCCCTGGGTCACGTGCAAAGGGGAAACAAGCATTTGTGGAGTAATGAGCCAACTAACCCCAGGGGAGGGGCCTGAAGACCCAGCACCAGATGGTACTTAGCACGTCCCAAGAGCTCCTTGCTCTCCAGTTGTAGCCGCCAGGTGTGACAAAGTAGGCGGGTCCCCAAACAGGCCTAGTGGGTGCCCTAGGCCCAGGCCCATGACACAGTGGAGGAGCATCTTACGGAAACAAACTCAGACACTCCAGGCTGAGTAGGGTAGCTGGGAGCAGCAGACAGGAGGTGCGCAGTGCACACTGGGAAAACGCATCCGTGACTCTTCCCATCTCCCTGGGGTTCTCTCCCGTCTGATTCTCCTGCCTCCTCCACCAGGAGAGCCACATGGGATACCCTTCCCCAAACCCCAAGCAAATCACCTCCTAAAGAGTCTGTTTTATTCCAAGCCAGGAGACCTTGTCTACAAATCCTTCTGGTAACTTGGCCACCTGAGGCTCTGAACTCACCAGAAGACCCCTGGACTAGACGATCACACCACGGTAGCTGAGCCAGGCACCGGGGAAAACGCTACAGAAACTACCCATCAGAGAGGCTGTCGCAGCTTTTATCCTGTCTTCCAGATGAGGACACAGATTTGGGAAGATTAAGTAAGCAGCTGTAGGCCCAGACAACTGGTCTATGCAGAGCTATCTTTCCCAGGCTCCAGAACAACCACCTCCTACCAGCCCAGCTGGGACCTCTCAGCCTCCCTCTCCTCTATCCAGAGGCCACTGTCCTTCAACACCATCTCAGGTTCGTGGTGGGTCTTCACCCCTGCACAGGTCACGCAGCCGACTGGGCGACTGGGCTCCCTGCGGATGTTGGCAGCGTCTGGAGACACTTTCTGGTTGTCAAAACCAGAGGAGTGCTCCTGGCAGTTCTGTCACACCCAGAACAGGTGGCCCAGGGCGCTGGATTCCACACCTCACTGCTGCTCCCCGGGCTGAGGAACCCGGTAGCAGACAGAAGAGCAAGGGTCCACACCAAGGACACCTGGATTCCGGGAGAATGCTAACAGTCTAACGCCTCGGCTCCCTCGTCTTTTAAACAGGGCTAATAACACCTCGCCCAGGGCTATCGGGAGCTATAACTGCACCCAGCAGAGCGGGAGTTAATGGCTGGTCCCTGTCATCGTCATCCATCCTTTCAGCATGGTCCTTTTGAGGGCAGCAGCGAGTGGCAGAGTGGCACGTGTGCTCAGGGCCATTTCGAGAATGACAATGGGTGGGTGGAGAGCTGAGCGTGCGACTTCAAGTGATCCCCTATGCTGGGCCACAGGAAGTGGCCCCTCAGCCCCACACTGGCACCACATGGAGCTGCGTGGGCTGGCGGGTCCCTTCCGGGACTGGGGGTGGCTAAGGAGTGGGACATTCAGCCTGTGGCCAGCTCCAGGATGCGACGCCCTGGGGGAGACTTGTTCAAGCACCTGTTAAAGTCAGAGATTCCTCTGGGTGGGGGAGAGCAAGCCACTCGAAGTTCGAAGTTCGGTTTTCCTGGGCACAGGAGGCCTCCAGGTGGGCGGCTCCTCTGGGAAATGGGAAAGGAGACCTGGCACCTGCCGGAGCAGCCTCAGACCTTGGGCCCGGGGTTCCTGGCAGGGTGAGGGTGTGGCAAGGAGGCAGCTGGGACAGAGCCAGCCACGGGAGCCAAGGCAAACAGCACTACCCCACCCGGCCCCACCCCCAACGCCAGCTGCAGGAGGTAGGAAGGGCACGAGCCAGCGTGAGGCCAGGTGAATTACCTGCTCCCAACCAGGCTGGCAGATCAAAGGGGCTGGGACCCCACCCTCCTCCAGGGCCCAGCACGAGCGCTGTGTGCACACATGCGTGCGTGCGCGCGCACGCGCACACACACACGTACGCACAGATACATGCTCTCAGCCTGCCTGCCATACCCGCAGAGCACGGCAGGCTCTCACCCAAGCAACCAGGGGCGTTGTCTGGGACTGGCAGAGGGAGAAGCTGCTGAGGCCTCCTAGCGCCTGCCTGCCTGAGTCCCAGGCCTTATTTAGACGGGATCCAAAGCCAATCCCTCTGAAAAAGCCTCCTGGCCAACCACAGAAACCATTTAGATTAGGCCTTCCCATCTACCACCTTCCTTCCTCACTGCCCTGGGGACCCTCCCACTCAGCCAGCCCATGCCTGTGGGAGCAGGGGAAATGCTAAAGTAAGACAAGAGGGACAGCGATTCAAAATTCGCCACCCATCCCAACTCGAGGGGCCAGGCAATTCCGCTCTTTGGGAAGGCTCAGTCATCCACCCTTCCCCGTTTTCGTTTGGTTGTTTTGCTTTTAGTTTGCAATAATGCGTGTGCTGGCAGGAGAGCCCACAGGGCCCAGCTGAAGATGCACAGAATCAGTCATTTGGTGTCCCTGTCTCTTCCCTTGTCCTGACTAATCCTGGCAGACCCAATTCCGTGATAGTCAAGAACAAGATGTGATGAGTGTGGCACGGGACGGGAGGATTCCCTGAGGTATGTCTGTAAAGCACCTGAGGGGCCTAGTCTTCCCCCACATCATGCTTCACTGTCCTTCCCACAAATATTTACCGGTTGTCCACCATCCTCCAGGCAAGGGAGACAGTGGTGACCAGGACCCGAGCTCTGACGCAGAGTTTACACTCTGGGGTGTGTGTGTGGGGGATGAACAGCAGACAGTAAAGAGCCAGATAAACCAGAGGTTGAGAACAGCTGTCCTGGAAGGGCATCTCCATAGGGCATGGGAAGGCTGCAAGAGGGACTTACAGGGTCTGTATAACCCCGCTCCGCTGCTCCGGATAGCTCTCCCTCTGACATACATGCACACTCACACTTCCTAACTCTTGTTCCAGAGCATCGAATTCTGTTTTGACTCTGGCCTTGCACATGGCTAGGGCTGGGGGTTCCAGCCAGTCGGTCTCCAGCCCACTAAGGCCATTAGCAAACCAGGAGGAAGCTGGGTAGTGAAGGGCTAGAGGGGTGCCTCCACTCCTTCCTGGCAGAAGGGTGCTGAAGCCGAAGCCATCACATGACAGTGGGAGTCACCCTCCCGGAAGCCAGCTCAGCTGATGGAGACAGGACCTCGGGGGCCTCAAGCTCCTCCACCTCCTTCCCAGCAGCTGAGGCCACCACCTAAGGCCCAGCTCAAGCACAACCAGGGACACAGCCAGCTCCAAGCCACCTCCACCAGCAAGCCCTCCTTGCACAGGAGGTTAGGAGCACCTTCCCGGACTGGTCCCCTGGGGCTAGGTCCCATTGCCATTCAGGTCTCCCCAGGGCTGCCTGGGGTTTACTCAGGCTTAACAAGCAGGCAAGCGCTTTATGAGCTGCGAAGCACCACATGTGGTCTGGGCTCCTGCAGCCTGTGTCCCAGGAATGCTGGATTAAAGAGAGCAAAGGCAGTTTCTGTGCCACAGCCTCCCCTCAAATACACATGCCCAGCAAGAGGAGGTGCTAGAGGAGGCTGTGAAGGGGCCGGGGAAGCCTAGAATTAAACATCTGGAGTGGGGGCCTTCTCAAGGTCTCTCAGGCCTTGGAGATTCCAATGAGGGCTTACTGGAAGGGAGAAATGCTGGGGAGGTTGCAGCTACCCTCAGAGTCACCATTTGCAGCCAAGCGGCCCCGTTTGGAGGCAGGGGGGGGGGGGGGGTGAAAGATGCAATCACAGAGAAATAAGGTTTGAGGGGCATGGAGCTAAAGGAAGTTGAGCCCAGGGAGGGGAAAAGTGGTGCTACGGGGTCAAGACCTGATGGGAGTTTCCCAGATTTTCTTCACAGGACCCGGGGGAAAGGAACGAGGTCGCCGCAGAAGTGGCTTGGTGTCAGGGCGCACCTATCGCAAGGGGGCGGACACCTGGCTTCGGGTGGACAGGGGCCGTGCGCGCCTGTGTACGTGCGTGGGTGTGCGCGCACGTGTGCTCTGGCTCCCTGTTCGGAGGCCGTACGTGCGTTTGTGTGCGGTGCGCGCGCGTGTGTCCCGCCTGTGCACGGGCGTGGCGGGGGGGGGGGGGGGGGCCGGGGGGGC